AGCCGAGACTCTGTTTCAAGAAAAAAAAAAGAATTATTTTACTGTAAATACTGTAAAGTAGAAGTAAGCAAAATAAAGCATCAAGAACAGAAAGGGCAATGTGACCCAGTTAACACTGTGACCAACAGAGCTTCTGGACTCACTTTCCCTTTTCTCAGTGGTTACATGGATTCTTACTGGTCCTTTCTTCCCCATCTAGCCACTTGATTCTCCCTTCTAGACACTCCAGTCCGGCTGGTCTCATCCTTCCAGCTGCAACTTCTGGCCTCTGGAAAGTCTCTATGGCCCTAACCAGCTTTCTGTTGCCAAAGACCTGCTCAATTTACATTATCTCTTCTTGATCTCTGAAAATTTGGAGTATGGGGGCAAGGGTGGGAAAAGAGAAAGGGACAGTTAGTCACTCTGATGGCTAGTAGTCAGGCTGTCTACTAAACACTAGATTTAGAATTTCATGAACTCTTCACCAAGAGCCTGTGAAATCTACCTTACAGATGAAGAAGCTGGAGGAAGTTTAAAGCCACACAGCCCATTAGTGCCGGAATTCAAATGCAGACACCCGTGACCCTGTACCTTAGGCTCATTGATAAACAGCAACAGTTTCTCAGAGAGCCAGATGCATAAATTTCTGTCTCTTTCTATTTCAAAACTCAGGCTTCTCTCTCGAGCAGCCTATAACTTTGACTTCAGATTGTCTCGTCAAGTAAGGATGCTTGCTGAATAGTCAGGCCCTTCATTACGCTTGCTGTTGCTTCCTGTTTTTCTAAGACACTTTGTCATGACCCATCACTGGAAGGAGTAGAGCTCTCTCTCAACTCCTACAAGATTAAAGACATTAAAGCCATCATATAATTCTCCCTGAAAGTAAGATAATAATTCATCATATTTGTGATAATGCTGTTCATGTCCGTTATTTGCTAAGCTAACCCTCTTTTTTCTTTTCATAGACCCAGCAGAGAAAGCTTTCAACCCAGTGCTCTTTGCTAGGACAAAATATGAAGTCTCTGGTTCTGAGTTTGGCAGTGTTGCCACCTTTCTGCCCCTCGATTAGAGTTTCATTGTCCTCCTTTACTCACTGTATTCCCTCTAGTCTCTAAGCTTTTCAGAAATCTCTGTGTGTGCTTTAAATAGACCGACTGAATAATGAAATACAAATCAGAATGAGATTACTCCTTTACTCCATTGGCATTTTTTCCACGCAAAGATGAAAATACATTTATTGTTTATTTTATATTTTAAATATATAAGATAAACTTATATTAAATATAAATTTTATATTTCACTTGATCATTCACTGCCTTTCCCATCACAAACCACAAGCCACAGACTTTCTACCTGTTGGAAAGTAACCTAGGATGAAAATAGGACCCTTTGCAACTACAACTGGACACTCAAACCTGAGTTTGCCACATCTTCTCTCTCTCTCTGTTTTAAAATGTGGATGGTACGCTAACCACTGAGCATGGGCACTGGGCCTTTTTATCTTTTCTTTTTTCTTTTGCAGTTATTGTCGTTTAGCTGGCCCAGGCTGGGTTCAAACCCTCCAGCCTTGGTGTGCGTGGGTGGCACCATAACCACTGTGCTACGGGCGCTGAGCCTTCCACATCTTCTCAAACCTATAAAATAGTGAACTGCTCAAGAGCCTCCTCAGCTTGTTTCAAGCCAGTCATGCCCTCAGCTGAAAAGGCCTGAAGCTGCAGGGCACACACTGCCAGATGAAGCCAGGGCAAAACTGTGGGCTGATGTCCACTGGTGGAAGGATCACAGATGTTGGAGTTCTGGGCTTTTCTTTTTCTTTTTGGTCTGACTTACCCACATAGAGCCACAAACCTAAGATCAAACAGGTCTTTCTGAATACTTGAAGAATGGAGCAATGATCAGCTGGGCAGGGTTACCAGTTAGCCTGAGAAGCTGAACTGGAGAGCCACATCCAAGAACCCAACAAGCTTTGAGCTGCAGACCACCACCGGGTGGCACATGTTTAATTATCAGTGCAGCTGAAGCTTAGGAGTTATTACAACTGGACTGGCAAGAACTAAGTTATTAGTTTGAAACTATAACTGGATTTTCCTTCATTGCTTTTAGTATATTTCCCTTACTGTTTAAGTGTTTATTGTTGGGAGTTGAAATAACTGTGAAGCCTTTAGAAAGAATAAACTATTCACGTTGTCATAGGAAGAGACAAAAGCTAAGCCCTTAATGCTTTTGTCTCCATGAAAATTTGCTTCTTGGAGTCCGACTTGGTGGCAGGTGAAAGAGTGAATAGGTTAAGTGTGTCTATACTTCTTGTCTTCCTTCTCCCTCTCTCTCTACCTCCTGATTTCAGACTCCTCCCCAACTTCAAGTAATATCTTTATTAATTTTTTTATGTTTAAAGCTTATTTTCAATATTTAATACAGAACCTCCAGTATGTCATTGCTTTTCATATAACTTACATCCTTCCACAACACTAGATTAGCCTTCTGTGATCCCATGCACAGAAGGGGGGGTCTTAAACTTTACCCCAATAGACAGTCCAGGAAGATGTTTGTGCCAGCTTTCCATCTCTCCAAGGATATTAGTCACATGTAGTAGTATGGGGCTTTCTAGAAAGAAGGGAGGAGGGAGGAAAGGAGAGAGAGAGGAAGGAGGGAGTGGAAGGAAGGAAGAGAAATAAAAGCAATAATTCCAAACATGGCACATACCTGTATGGTAAGGTGACCAGATGTCCCGCTTTTGGTGGGACAGTCCCAATTTTTAACAATTTGTTCCACATCCTGCAGTGTTTTAGAAAAGTCCCAATTTTTGGAAAGAATGCATGACGAGCTAGGGAACAGTGGGAGAATGGGAAGGGAATATACGGTTTTCAGCTGCTGAAAAGGTTAATGTAACTCCATTTGGGAATGAAGAGGTTAATGTAACTTCATCTGGAAATGAAAAGGCTAATATAAACTCCCTACTTCCCTCCTGGGCAAGGTATCAGAAGGAGAGTGGCTCCCTCCCTTGCTTCTAGGCAAGGACAGTTAGCTCAGAAGGAGCCAAACTGTCTGGAACAAACAAGTAGGGCCCCCACCCCCCCAGAGTAAGGTGACCAGATGTCCTGCTTTTGGCAGGACAGTCCCAATTTTTAACAATTTGTCCTGTGTCTTGCAGCATTTTTAAAAAGCCCCAATTTTTGGAAAGAATGCGCGACAAGCTAGGGAACACAGGAGAACAGGAAGGGAATACACGGTTTTCGGCTGCCATGTGGCTATTTCACCAGGACATGAGTTTTATATTATTTTTGTTAATTTTATAATGTTAAACTTTAATAATAACAAATAATTGTTGAGAACTGATTATGGAGAACTGCTTATCAAAGTTTGCATTGTTGTCAGACCCCGCCCCCCAATGGTGTCCCGCTTTACCAATGTTAAAATCTGGTCACCTTACTGTATAGACAACTCATCACAAAGTCAGGTCTTACCATGGAGCCTCAACATCTTTCAGTGTCACACCAGGAATGTCACCCAAAGTCATTTATAGCCTCTGGGTAGGAGGAAACCTTTCAGACCTAGATCTTTGGCTGCTGTAGCATTTCATTCTTATAGTTGTACTTTCCCCTATCACATTTCTGATCTTCTCCCAGAGTGTCTTCTGGCCACCCTCCAGATCCCCTCTGATCTGGACAGGGACGGCTTAGGGCTTCTGACCCACCATTCCATTCATCAGAGTTCAGATCAAGAGGCCTTGCCTCTTGTGACAGCTTCACACGCCTGTGGGCTCTAGGCACAGGAGGTGGAAGATGGGAGTGGAGGGTTTCCCTGCATCTTTTAGTAGAGGCAGTGTATGCTATTCTGGTCTGTGTCCCCTTTTTGCAAAGTCACAGGTGGGATTTTGTTTTGCTTAGAAATGAGTTGGAGAAAACCTCCTCTATCAATCTGGTATTCTTCCTGCTATTCTACCAGAGGTCTGCTTGTTGTCAAAGCATCCCAATTGCCCCCCCCCCCAATTTATTCTAGGTAGACCCAGAGGGAATATTTATATAAGTTCAGCTGTCAATGACAAGCAGGCCATGTCTTTTATCTTTGTTAAGCCTGTGGTGTTGGAAGCACAGGGAAAGTTACCTTCGCTTCCCCTAAGTGACCAAACTCGAGCTGAAATTCTTGCTGCAAGAATTCTTTTCTGTTTGCTCCTTTCTTCCTCCTTCCAATAGGCCTCTGGTCATCTCACCCATCTCCGTCCGCTCTCCTTTCCTCTTCCTCCCATGGTTCTCTATCTGTCCTTTCTGCCCCACCTTTCTTGGATTTCTCTTTTCTCTTCAGTTTCTCTGAGAAGATGAGGCACAGTGAGAGCTGGAGGGGAGGGATGTAAGCGAGGGGGAAGGTGCTCTATGAAACTCCAGGGAGGATCAGGCCAGGCCTGGCCCGTAGCCTCCTCAGGAAGGCTACTGAGGAGTCCAGTATTCCTTGCCCAGTATTCTTCTTAGAAACTGAAGGAAAGGCAAAAAGAGACCCTCTCATAACCCCCAGCTCCCTGTGCTTCTAGTTGCCAACTTGAAACAAATTTTCCTGCTTATCTAAGTAGGAATCTCCTACCCAGTAGCTGAGAATGACCAAGTGCCACATTAGTGCTGCCATCTATAACACTGGTCAAAGTAGACTAATTTGCATACCAAATAGGAATACCTTTAAAACATAGACAACGATATCCCTTAGTTTAATCCATTGCATGTTATATAAATGACGGTGTATTAGGTTAGGTCATTCAAGTGATGTGCTCTTTTTTAGTTCAGTACATATTTGTATAGAGGCCATCAATAAGGGGGGCTTTGTATAGTCTGAGGATATCTACTATGAGGGCTACAAGAGCAAGCATTTTTAAACGCAGACCTTAGAAGAGTATTTTGTGTGGCCGAGAAAATGGGCCCTGCTGTGTATTCTCGTAGGTTTGTTCTTCCGTACACCTGGTTTGTGTGATTCTCTCTATTCTGTTTCAAGCCTCTTCCCTGGCTCCTTACGGTACCTTGTCCAGCAGCACCTGGATTTGCTTCATGCACTGCAGGAAAGGGTCCTGAAGTGGCCACGTCAAGGAGTTCTTGGAGATTTATTCCTTAAGTTAACAAACGATGAGGTAAGGAAGTGCCCCTCCCCCCATAAACTTAAATTGTGCGGATCTCTGTCTACTTCTTTTAACAGGGAGTCAGTGAATTTCAGAGCTGGAGGAACCACTGAGCTCCAGTCTGACCTCCTCATTCTCCATACAGATAATGGAATAAGGTTTGGAGAGATTCAAAAACTCTGCGAAAATCACCTGGCTAGCTATTGGGGATCTGTGACTAGGACCCTAAGTTAGGTCTTCTATCTTGTAGTTAGAAACTTTCTACTGTACTAAGTCTGCTTGTCTTACATGTGTATATATATTTTTGTACGCATATGAACACACTGCACATATATGTACACACAAACATGTATAAATATATGAGAATTTGTACATATGTGTGTCTTTTCACACTCCATTTTCATTCCTTAGAGATTTCTTAAAATGTGATGGGTCGTTATTGCCTTGAATATCTTTTTATTTTCACCTTCTAGAGAAAATGTATTAAATTTTTACAGTCTCTATGGTGACCTACGCAGAAAATATGATCCAAGCCATAGGTTGCAAACTTAAATGCCTGCAAGGCCGGACAGTGACATGAATGAGGGAAGTGAACAGAGTGTGGGCTGGCAGGAGGTGTGCGGCGTACAGATGTTGTTCTCGAAGAATAGCTCCTCAGCTGCATCCGATTATTATGCAAGAAAAAGGGACTAGAGTTGCTAGATCTTTTGATATTTTAAGGAAAGCTGGAATTTTCTTACTTTTAAGATATTGCCTAAGCTAATTCTAATTGGTCTGCCAGCCATTTTGGGCCTGTAATCAATATCTGTATACCAATGATTCTCAAATGTGGGTAATGACATAAATTTAAAAATTGTTTGCTTGTGTCGATTAGAGTGGATGTAATGCCATTCCTGCAATGTCCCCTTTACTCACTCATTCGTGTTCAGTGTGCTTTCTTGAGCTAAAATTTATTATAACTGTGGGGGATCTAACTTTGAAAGCTGAGAATAATGTTCCTCAGGGGACAATGCCTAGGTGAATACACAATTAGTAGAAAATGTGAGATCCACTGGTCTAGATATGTAAGGTAGATTGGGCAAAGTCCCTTCACGAAGATGATTGAAATGAAAAGGAATTACCTAAACAGAATCAGCATTAGTATTATTTCATAATTGAAAAATAATTTTTCAACTTAAGTGATCTCTCTCCCCTTGATTTATTATTTCACTTTCTCTTATTAAAGTAGGACTATTGAGGTTTTTTTTTTTTGAGACAGGAGCCTCAAGCTGTCCCCCTGGATAGAGTGCTGTGGCATCACAGCTCACAGCAACCTCCAACTCCTGGGCTCAAGCGAGTCTCCTGCCTCTGCCTCCCGAGTAGCTGGGACCACAAGCACCTGCCACAACGCCCAGCTATTTTTTGGTTGCAGCCATCATTGTTGTTTGGCAGGCCCAGGCTGGACTTGAACCCGCCACCTCAGGTGTATGTGGCTGGCGCCTTAGCCACTTGAGCCACAGGCGCTGAGCCAGGACTATTGAGTTTTGATCCCCAAGCTGTAAGAATGTTTACCCTTAAAACCAAAGATGTTTTTTTTGTTTGTTTTATTTTTATTATTTTTTAAGAGATGAAATTTTGTTGCCCAGGGTGGAGTATAGTAGTACAATCATAGCCCACTGTGCCTTCAACTTCTGGGCTCAAGCGATCCGTCCACCTCAGCCTTTGGAATAGCTGGGACTGCAGGTGTGCACCACCATGCCTGGATAATAGTTTACTTTTTTTTTTTTTGTAGGGCATGGGATCTTGCCACATTGCCCAGGCTGGTCTCAAACTCCTAGCTTCAAGAAATCCTCCTGCCTCAGTCTCCAAAAGTGCTGGGATTACAAGGGAGATCTACCTTGTCCAGCCCTAAAAGATTTTTTAAAAAGATGAAATAAAAAACCCAAATATATTAAATAAAGAACACATTAAATGAAGGATTAAGATAAACTCTGCATAGTACTCCTTTCTGATATATATTGCTCTATAAAAATATTATCATTACCTTTTCCAGGTTCTTACCATGCATTTTTGTGTTTGTTTTTAAGAATAACTTCTTGGATTATTATGTTGCCTACTTGAGGGACCTGCCTGAATGCATCTCATTGGTTCATGTGGTCGTTCTGAAGGAGGTAAATGAACTCTATGTCTGTGCTGTGCTCTGTTGGCACGTGTTATCCTCATAATGTTGCTCCTCCACCCAGTCAGCGGAGCACATGCACTGTGAGCTTGTTTTCCAGGCTAGAGAATGGCCTGAGCAGAACCACTGGCACTCCTACTCGTGGTTAAAGGAACCCACTCAAGATCAGGCTGATTGTGTTTGTCCTTCCCCTGCCTTACTGACCTCTATTCCATTTCACTGGACAAACTTCACCTATGCACAAACTAAACAGGTGTTTGAGGAGGTCTTCAGGCTGCAGCCTGTATGCTGTGTAGGGGGGTTTGTTTAGGCTCAGATATGAATCTGAATATGAAACTCAAGGCATCCTTTGTGAGTTTATAAGAGCTTAAGGTGGCTCTAGTCATCTTGCTTTAAGATTTCTACTGTGGTGATATATTAAGTACTCACTAAACACACACACACACACACACATATATATATATATATACACCAATTTTAGTTACTTTAGTTCAATTGGAGAAAAGAGTATCAGAAATCTCAAAGCTGAGTTAATCAAGTTTCATAAGAGATAGGAGGCTCTGTCTCACTAACTTTCTACTTCAATGCCCCACTACTACCAACGCAGCATAATGCCTACCACGTGTTAGCATTCACCAAATATCTGGGAAAGAAAAAGGAAAAGAAGGAAACGGAAAGGACATGGAGAAGGCCCAACATGTTTTCTGCTGCCTGGTCAGTCATACTCCCTTCCCCACTCTCATGAGGATCTGATCCACTCTTAGAGTGTATTTGTAAACCATTGTAATGATTAGTTGTTGGAGAACTGTTATGAATTCATCCATCTCAAATACAATTTATTGAGTGCCTTCTTCTGCCTAGCACTATGCTAAGATGAGAGGAAGGAGAAGGTAGTTTGGAAATTTGGGTGGATTCAAAAGGAGTATATGCTGTTGTCAGGTACCAGCCCCAACACGCTATGGATTCCCTTCCAGTGGCTTGGTGGGGTAGGAGGCCATTGGAAAATCAGAAATAATAGGCAAGAGATAAAGAAATAGTTTTTAAAGCAGCGGAGATTCAGGAGACAGCAGACCTATCTTTGTGAGGCTTCCTGTATGCCACCTGAACACCAGGCTAGCTCTATGTTTATTTCATACACCAGTGTTTCAAGCGTAAATCTCATGAAGGCGAGGCAAACAAACAATCCTGTCATGGTTCTTGCTGAGCTTGCATTTTTAAAACTACATTAATTGTATAGATTTACTTTTTACTTTTGTTGTTTTAAGGTACTTATGATCTTAATACAGAGTTTGGATAGCAAAATAGTCCAGGAGCAGGACATCAGAGAAATGCCCTAATTAGACCAAGCTCGCAAATCACAGAAGTGATTTTTTTTTTGGAGACAAAGTCTCAAGCTATTGCCCTAGGTAGAGTACCAGGGTGTCACAGCTCACAGCAACCTCAAACTCTTGGGCTTAAGTGATTCTCTTGCCTCAGCTTTACAAGTAGCTGAGACTACAGGCTCCTGCCACAATGCCCAGCTATTTTGGTTGTTGTTGTTGTTGCCATTGTTGTTTAGCTGGCCTGGGCTGGGTTCGAACTGGCCAGCTTTGATGTATGTGGTAGTTGCCCTATCCACTGAGCTATGGGCACTGCCCACAAAAGTGATTTTTTAATACCCCCAATGCCTATGTGCAGACAGACAGACTCCTTTGGCCAAACCAAGGTGACAGAAGAAAGGAGATAGTTCATCTCCTTATCTGGTCCAGAGCAATTCTTGCTGTGTTCAACAAAGTTTAAACATTCTATATTCCCAACTCCCTAAAATCACTCTCCCAGGAGCAAGCAGCCCCACCCTGGCAGAAAGCCCCTACAGCTTGCAGCCACAGCAGTGGTAGAGGGCTGCTGGGGGAGGGGGAAGTTCCAGCAAGACAGCCTTCAGAATTTTAAAGGGGCAGGTCCCCACAGTGCTTTGCACTGAAATTAAGGTTCCTTTGGAATCATTTATCTCCTTTTGTCCACCCTCTGTAATCATATCCCTAATTTAATTCCTAATCTACTTACAACTAATAATTGAATATTGGTTTCAAGGTTATAAAATCATTACTACTATTGGTGGCACCTGTACTCTGCGGGTATGATGCTGGCCACATACACCAAGGCTGGTGGGTTCAAACCCAGCCCAGGTTGGCTAAACGACAATGGCAACTGCAACAAAATAGCCAGGCATTGTTGAGGGCGCCTGTAGTCCCTGCTACTTGGGAGGCTGAGGCAAGAGAATGGCTTAAGCCCAAGAGTTGGAGGTTGCTGTGAGCTATGACACAACAGCGCTCTACTGAGGGTGACATAGTGAGACTCTGTCTCAAAAAAAAAAATCATTTTTGCTATTAATGCAAGCACATCAAGATATGACTCTTCCCTTAAGTATTCCCACAAGTACTCTGCAGATGTCCTCCCTTCTGGAGAAGAGTTGTTTCCTTGGGTAAGTCCCCGATCATGTGGCCTCTCTGTTGAGAGATCAATGCTTCATGACAATCTCTAGCAAGAAAATACTTTGGTAGTAAACCCTTCCTACTCTGTAGGACAGACTCTGGGGTTCTGCTTCAAGAACTAGAGGGACATTGAAGAGTGACTTTGCCTTTCTTTCATGCAGGGTGATGAAGAAATTAAATCTGACATCTATACATTGTTTTTTCACATAGTCCAGCGCATCCCTGAATATCTGATACATCTGCAGGTAGGCATGGCTGGGCAAGCCAACAAACTTATTTTCATGCTAAACTATTGTTTTTGGCTTCTAACTAAGAAATACTGTGAAGGCTGAAGGAATCATTAATATTTCTAAGAAGTGTTTATATGGCTTAGAATGCTATGATTACCCCCTAACCCATTATACCCTGTGGTATGAGCTGAAGTCTCTGTTTCTGAAAATGTTGAGCTCCTTTTGCCTACTTTTTTTTTTTGAGACAGAGTCTCACACTGTTGTCCTCAGTAGAGTGCCATGGTGTTATAGCTCACAACAACCTCTAACTCTTGTGCTCAAGCAATCCTCTTGCCCGAGCCTCCCAAGTAGCTGGAACTACAGGCACCCACCACAATGCCTGGCTATTTTTAGAGATGAGGTCTTGCTCTGGCTCAGGCTGGTCTTGAACCTGTGAGATCAAGCAATCTACCTGCCTTGGCCTGCCAGAATGCTGGGATTACAGGCATGAGCTACCACTCGAGGCCCCTTTTGCCTGTCACCCTGGGTAGAGTGTGGTGGCATCACGGCTCACAGCAACCTTAAACTGTTGGGCTCAAGTGATCCTCTTGCCTCAGCCTCCTGAGTAGCTGGGACTACAGGTGCCTGCCACAACAACTGGCTAATTTTCATATTTTAGTAGAGACAGAGTCTTGCTCTTGCTTAAGGTGGTCTTGAACTTCTGAGCTCAGGTGATCCACCCACCTTGGTCTCCCAGAGTTTTTTCTTTTTTGAGACAGAGTCTTGCCCTGTTGCCCTGGGTAGAGTACTACAATGGGACTACAGGTGCCCACCACAACAACTGTCTAATTTTTCTATTTTTAGTAAAGATAGGGTCTCGCTCTTTCTCAGGCTGGTCTTGAACACCTGAGTTTAAGCAATCTACCTGCCTTGGCCTCCCAAGAGTGCTAGGATTATAGTCATGAGCCACCTTGCCCAGCAAAATAGGTACTATTGTTATCACGTTTTGTAAGAAAATGAAGGGTCAAATAAGTTAAATAATTTGCCCAAGTTAACACACCTAGTAGACAAGAAAAACTAGGGTGAAACCCTAGTCTTGCAAGCAGTAGAATATGGTAAATAAACCTTGGTTCTGTGGTCTGACTCAACTTCAATTTTTGCCTCTGTTATTCACTGGATGGGTGACTTAATGAAGATTGCTTCACTTCTCTGTACCTTGGATTCCTTATTTGTTAAATGATGGTAATAATTGTATCTAATGTATGAAAAGAGCCAGGTGCCTAGAAATAGGAAGTACTCAATAAATGTTGGCTTTCCCATCTCCAAGTTGCATTCACATTTCACTATAGTGCGAGAGGCAATGTGATAGTAGGGGCCATCAGGCCTGATCATAAACAGCCCTGTTTCCCAGCCTGCTTTGACGCCCAACTCATTTGAGTTGAGACATTGCTTGTAGACAGCAATTGTTGGAATGCCTCCATTGCTTTAGAGATCTAATTAGTAGGTTCTTCTAAATTTACAAATGAAATTATTTTATGTTCATATCCAAGTCAAACAGGAACAACAGTGACTTATTGTTGGAGTGATGGCTAGACAGAGAGTAGAAAGTTTGACCTTTCAGCTTATAATTAGACGAGCCATATCTAATATTGTTAATTGTTTTGATTAAGTGGCTACTAAACTTTCACAACAGATCAAGGTAAGGTTCAGAAGAGATACAAAATGTTCCTTCTAAATACACAATGCTGCTGCTTTTTCCCCTCCATCCAGAATGTCCTGAAATTCACTGAACAGGAACACCCTGATTATTACCTACTACTGGTGTGTGTTCAGCGCCTCCGGGTATTTATCTCACACTACACCTTGCTGTTTCAATGCAACGAGGATTTGCTTATTCAGAAACGAAAAAAGCTCAAGAAGTAAGGTTCTGATGGTGCACTCTGGGGGGTTGACCAAAGGCTTCTGAGAATATGAATATAGACCAGTCACCTGGTGTCTTTCACAAGTAACCGACTTGTATGTTATGTGGCTGAAGTGCAGTGATGGGAGGTAGAAGGGGAAAGGTGGGGTGGGGAGGTTATGGAAGTGGCCAGGTTGGCTACAGGAGGGAGACACCTACTGCTTTCTGGAAATTACTTTAGAAAAAAAGCACTTTCACTCTACTACCTGCATAGACTCCCTCTTATTGTGCCAATCACCTCAAAATTATTCAATTTCCTGAAACTTGCCAGATTCAAAATTATAGCATAAATGCCAGAATATAGTTTCCTTCATTGAGTAAACAAATATTTGAGTATCTATTGTGTGTCAGGCACTGTTCTACATATTGAATATACTGAAATGAAAACATTGGCCCCAAATCCCTGCCACACAGAGCTTACTTTTTAGCATTAGATGGTGAGCAAACGAAAAGTTCAATCATGATATGTGATATGGATAAAAATAAAACACGTAAGAAAGGGGAACTTTGAATAGATTTCGCATCAGGAAGAAACAAGAAGGGTTGATGAGGGGGAATCTGAGCTTCAGAAGGATCAGAAGCAACCCACAGCAGGGTTGCTAAAGACCTGGATTTCCTTCAGACTCATTCCAAGTCATATAGAGGAAAGCAGAATCATTTCTGGGGGTGCTTCAGACCAGATAAGGATTGTTAACTTCCAAGCAAGGGCTCCTCTAATGGAAGGTATGTCTCCACCATCACCTTCCCCCAAGCTCTTTTCAGCCAGTTAATTAGCTTTCCAAATACTGCCCAATAGCCAGCTTATACTCTATAAGGTAAGCAACTTGGTTTAGAGGGCCCTGTAGATAGACCTTCACAGCAAGTTCATCTGAGAGACGTTTATCTTTCTTAGCATAATCTGTATTCAGAGAATCAGTTTCCCACTGTATAACCTGGGAATTATTACTTCCATTCTGTTAGGTCATCCATGGCGAAACTGTACAAAGGGCTGGCTTCTCAGTGTGCAAATGCTGGGCAAGATGCCTCCCCCACTGCAGGCCCTGAGGCTGTCCGTGACAGTGGGATCCACTCAGAAGAGATGCTGCAACCCTACCCTTCTGCTCCCAGTTCTGGCCCTGGTGTCACGTAAGCACCTGTTGCTGTGGAACAGTTAATAACAATGGCCTTTGGTCCCACCCAGCCTGTGTAGGTTACCAAGCCAGCCTGAATTAGGAGTAAAATGTATAGGACTCCTCCTTCCCCACTGCAGGCCCATACATGGCAGCCAAGCAGCAGACCACACGGTTATATCCCAGAGGAAGGTAATAACGTTAAGGGGCAAGCTCAGAGAGTGGGAGGAGGAAGCAAGTGAATATTTACTTTGTGGATCACCTCAACTCTTGAGACAGTGACAAAACTTTACCTTCTTCGAAGTGCAACAGAGCCAAAAAATTAAATTCCTAGAGATTATTCCCAGACTAAAGAATATGGAGGTCACTGCACCCAGTGTAGGAAAAATAAAACCCAACAAAAATCTTCCAAAAAAGAATTAAGGTTAATATTTTGTTTCACTGTTTCCTTTCACATCTGTAAATGTCAGACCTACTTTCATTTTTTAAGACCTCTAGGGTAAGATACTGTTAGATTTTATATTTGCATCCTTCATGGCAGAAGTTTTGGCATTTTTGTGCCAGAATTAAAACATGAAAACATAAAATAGCAGAATAAATACTTCTGGTCAGTGTTCATTTATGTGTATCTGACAACTGAAGTCCAGCATAACTGGAAAATCACATCTCATCTGGTGGTATGCTATCCACTGGCAAACTATGTAAATTATGTTACCCATGATTCTGAAAAACACACACTCTCCATGAAACTGGCACATTCAGAGTGGTCATTTTTACTTTTTGGTAATGCTTTGTCGGTAGTTTGAGATGACCTGTATAGCATGCTTCAGAACAAGGAATACCTTTGAAAATTTATTATGAAAATTTCAAATTCACACACAAGAGTACAGTGAACCCCATTTACCATCATCCAATCCAACAGTTACCAAGATCATGCCACACTTACTTCATCTAAGAATTTAATTGTTTTTAAGTGTGAAGATCCACGGGTGGAACAGAAGCTGAGTTTCTCTTATTTTACGTGACTCAGCTAGGGCAAGAAAGGGACAGAAGAGCGTTGGGGAGAGGTGCCCTGGGACACTGACAGGTGGAGAGGAGGGTCGGAGCTTCCTCAGGGGGGAGATGAGACTTTGGCCCACCAGCCACCTCTGCGCAGTGCCTCCTTGCTTCCAAGAACCTGAGATGGATACTTTCGGGCATCCGCTTTACGGACCGTTATTTCCAGTCTCCTCTCGGGCACAGGAGGTCGTGGGAACTCC